TGTAACAATTCGGACTTGAATCGAATCCGAATCGACTTCCAGCCAATTGTTACGACCTGTGCCTGGTACTTGTAATTAGCACGAACTCTGAGCTAGCACAACTCTTGCCCCGAACGCCAGCACTAAAGACGAAGAAAAGTCAATTGGCCAGGGTGAAATGTGCTCTCGCAGCACAAATCGAGCCAGTCCCTCTTACAAAAGGCTGCGGGCTATTTATTTACTGCGCTGCATGCGCAGGCGTCCGTGGCAGGGGACCAATCAGCTATGAGGAAAAATCGATAGCCACGGCGCGCGCTCTCATGACAGCGGCGTGGAGTGCACTCGGGAGCCCCTCTGTTAGTTGAGTGATCGTGGGAATCGGCGCATTCCCAACACTTCCTTGATCCTTAGACTAATAACTTCCATTGTTGCAATGTGTACGACTGGATAACAGTCCTTATGAATTTTCAATTAGATTAAGCTCCGGTTTCGGTCAGTTCATTGCATTCCTTCATTTCTTTCTTCACTACTGTTTTTTATTCTTTGAAATGTATATTTGCTACAGTTAAATAACCAGACGTACACCTCCCTTTTGGCTCTGAAGGGAAATTGCATTTTCCATGTGAGGATACTGGCTAAACAAAATCCGCCCGAATCATCGGGGATGACGTGAAACCAAGTTTTCTCTTTTAATGCCTGTCTACTGCGTATCTTCGCAGGAGGGTGTGAATTGGCTGCTGTTTCTGCAAAAGTACGGCCTCAACGGCATCCTTGCAGACGATCTGGGTCTGGGCAAAACCCTGCAGACCATCTGTGTCCTAGTCAGTCACCATAGGAGTCGGCGAAAACGTGGCGGTGGCGCCTCACTCGTCGTTTGTCCCGCCACCCTCTGCAGCCATTGGCTCCACGAAATCGACAAATTTGCCGGGTCTCCGCGCTGTGGTCTGCGTCCAATCATCTACCAGGGCACTCTGGATCAGCGTCTGCAGTGAGTTTCTGTTATCATGATATCTGCGCTGTCGTAAGTCAACTTCCATTGACTGCACTAATTTTACCCTTGTCTGTTCTGCGCACCCTCTAGGTTGCAGTCGACTCTGTCGGACTACAATATTGTTATCACCACCTACGATTTGGTGCGGAATGATCTGTATTTTTTCGAGTGAGTTTTACTTTGATCCATAAGTCCCTGCCCCCTCCCCCTTCCTCCCTATGAACGAAAGTTGATGCCCGATTTCTTTTTATTTTAGAGAGACCTTCTGGGAGTACCTCATTCTTGACGAGGGTCACATGATCAAGAATAGCAAGTCCAAGGTTGGTTTCTACTTATCAATTTGTCTGTTTTATTTATAACTCCAATCCATCTTAAAGTCCCTGGTACCTCAGGCCTCGTCTTCATTCCTTTTTGCGATAGACTATAGGTTAACCATCTTCGCTGAATTTTTTTAAATAAGGGTGGGGGAGCTTGGTTATCAAGCCTTTCTGGCTGTTAATTGTGCGTTTGAAATAGTGTTTGTTTGTATCCTTCATTCTTCCTATGCCCTCGCAGCGGCCGCTTGTGCACCCCCTCACGTATTCGACGCTGTTGACAGCAACAGGCTTCATCATGACACGTAGGATGTAAGCGCTTCGTCAAGCCAAAAATTGAGCCCTATTTTGTAGCGGTCTAAGTTGTGTGTGTGCCTAGATCACTACAATCATCAGGTTGTTGTTGTTGTTGTTGTTGTTGTACTAACTTACTCCCTTAACCTAGTT